GAAAGAGAGAGAGAGAAAGAGAGAGAGAGAGAAAAGAGAGAAGAGAAAGAGAAAGAGAAAGAGAAAGAGAGAGAGAGAGAGAGAGAGAGAGAGAGAGAGAGAGAGAGAGAGAGAGAGACAGACAGACAGACAGACTACAGACTACCTAGAGTCAGAGAATACAGGAGTTGGTGAGAATTTATGACCAAAAAGTCATACAAGGGTACTATATACACAAGCAAAAGAAACAAATTTAACAGCACAAAACAGAGGAAAATATAGGACTTTCTTCCCACCAAACACGCCAAATGCATCTTTTATCATAGCCATTGAACTCTATTATTTTTCTTTTCCCACAAATTGTTGTTATTTGTAGATAACTTTAAGCATTAACTGTGCTTGATTAACAACTAATGGCCTTATTATGGCAACGATGAAGGCAAATTGTCACAAAAGCTGCGATTGTTTATATTTCCTCTTCTATTTAGTGTTTTTTTTCGTGACTGACATTTGATCCCGGAATATAAAGAGTACTGGAGCTACTTAAAAATATATTTAAGGCGTAATTTATTGCAGATTGCAGGAAAATCAAAAGGAAAGGTTATCTTTTATTTTCAATGTTGAGGGAGAGTAGGAAACGGATAACGAGATTATCTACTTTCTTTTTCATTTCATTTCGTTCATGATGTCTTTAAGGTCTGTTTAAAGGTCATGGGAGGAGGATTTACCTACCTTAATGCACGCATTCACACTTATTATTGTTGCGGTGTTATTCTCTTCACTAATATCTTTGTTGGTTTTACTTTGTAGTTGTCATTATCATTGTTATCTTACTAGTATTATCATTATGTATCCTTCTTTCTGATATTTATATTAGTATCATGTTAAATGGACTTCATTATTATTGTAATGATTATCCTTAATATTGCTTTTATCATTACCGATATAATACTAATAATGATTCAGTAACTATTAACAGTACAACCGTTGGTATTGATGAGGATTATGGTAGTAGTAAATAATGATAATGATCGTAAAGATGATGATGGCGATGTTGATAATGATGGCTATTATCATCGTCAGCCAATGCAATTATTGCCATTGTTGCCAGTACATTATTTTCCTTATGAATATGTTCTCATTATTATCTTCATTATTATTATTACAATTAAAGTTGCAATTATAACCATTATCATTTTTCATTGAATAATGCCCCAGTGCTATTATTACAGCTATTATTCTAACCAACACTTTCTGATGTATTATGACACCTGTTACTAGAAACCAAAGCATAATATAAAGCAAATTTTGACTTCTTATCAATTTTCTTAGACATTGAAATTATAATATTAGTGATTCCGCTGTGTTGTTGTTATTGTTGCATTTTGATGTTTTTGCTTTTATTTTTGTTCATATTACCTCCATTGCCATTCTCATTAACATCGTAATTATCAACATAATTATTACTGGTATTATTGTTAATAATAATATCATACTGTTATTACTGAGACTATTTTTATGATAATATCTTTATTAATATAATCATTATTATTATTATTACTATTATTCTTATTAGAGGAAGAGAGGGAGAGAGACAGACAGAGGAACTGAAGAGTAGGAGGAGTGTGTGTGTGTGTGTGTGTGTGTGTGTGTGTGTGTGTGTGTGTGTGTGTGTGTGTGCGTGTGTGTGTGTGTGTGTGTGTGTGAGAGAGAGAGAGAGAGAGAGAGAGAGAGAGAGAGAGAGAGAGAGAGAGAGAGAGAGAGAGAGAGAGAGAGAGAGAGAGAGAGAGAGAGAAGAGAGAGAGAGAGAAGAGAGAGAGAGAGGGAGAGAAGTTCAGAGACCGATTAAGGGCAAGAGAGCAACTTTCATAAAGCAATTAAACAAACAGTTACAGTGTCAAGGAAAAAAAAACGAAGATTAGAGAAACAAAGACAATCAAGAAATAGGAAAAAGAAGAAAAAAGGGAAAAAAAAGAAAAGGAGAAAGCAATGAAGCTGTAATGGAGTATAATCATAAGTGTATTATGTGAATGTTTTATCTCTCAAACATAACTTCCTCCACCGTAATGATAAAAAAAAAAAAAAAAATCTGCTTGAAAAAAGCAAACAAATAAAAAAAAACATACGTATGAATAAAAAAAATAAAAATAATAACATATAACCTAAAAAAAAGAAAAAAAAAAAAAAAAACTTTAATAGAATAATAAACCACATTACCATGGAAGTCATCAGCTGATCTAAATAAACAGCTGTTCGTCCATTCCAGACTGTTACGCGGAGAAAGGCGAAGGTCTCAGGCTGCAGGCGAGTCACGTGGATAAATACGTGAGTGTTAATAGCCTGAGGGAGTGTGAAGAGGCGTGCAATCTTGCCTTTTTCTCCTGCAAGTCTTTCTCCTTCAGGTGAGTTCTCGAGGTATTATTATTTTTTTCAATTCATTAAATTTCTTTCTGTCATATTATTGTAGGAATGGCAAAAATATCTCGGGTAGGTATAAATGATAGGAAAATTATACATACTT